AGGAAAAATATACTATACAGAATTTTAACATGGTGTAAAATTCAAAATATTTGTGCACTTGAAGCACAACGGGTTTTTTAATACTACCTTTTCTTTTTCTGTCCCTTCAGAAACAGGCTGCATTAAAAGATGATGATCAAATCAGTAACCCCCAGATGAGACAGCCCAGCCAAGGTCTGATTCCCAGAGGAAAGATTTTTAATGTTTCCAAAGCATGAATGCTGTTCCCTTAGAGGTGTGATTTACAGCCAGTGGAGCAGCAGTGGAAAAGTCTCTGGGACAGGCAGGGAAAGATTAAGTCTGGGGAAAAGGAGAACACCTCAAAGACATTATGGCAAATGATCACATAATGATACCAGGAAAATAATCCAGGAAAATGAATACTACAGTGCTTAAGTTTGTTGGCACAGATTTCGATTAAAGCAAAAATCAGAAGAGCAGTAAAATTTAAAGTAGCTCAGAAAGTCTTCTAGCTCACAGAAAGGCATTCATCACATTTCCAGCAGAGCGCATCTCTCAAACTCCTGTCATGGTATGTATTAAAAGACAACACAACATTCCCACAGAACAGATCCCCATCTCCAGCATGGTGGTGAATAAAAAGGACACAGCATTTGGCTTTCCCCAGGATTTGCCTTTATCCCCTCTCCAGGGAACACGCTTCAACTTCCAAGGAAACCTCTCCAGTTCTGACATCATGGTTGATCATCTCATGGAAGTAAACACAAATTTCTGACAAAAGTTAATACTGTGCTCTATACTGACTTTGGCAAAAATCCATCCTAATTTATGACACCAAGAGCAAGACAGGTTTTGGATGGGTTTTTTATGCAGCAGAGCTTCTCTTCTTTGCTGTAGTACAGCAGTATATCCCATGAGCATCGCCTGTTTTCACAGTTTAAGTAGCTCACATTAAGAACAGCATGCTTTTCTCATTTTATCACATCCCCCAGATCCACATTTTCCATACAGCTCCAGATGACACGACTGGGGGCACACTGTTATTATAATCACATTAAGAGACTTTAGAATTGTATGAGGCATAAAATCTCACAATCAGGCAGCACTGAAATCTGAGTCTGATGAATAGTCAGCTTGGCTGAAAGTACAAGGCACATAAATAAAACAAAGACTAAAGCAAAGCAATGGAGTATGAGGGCTCTCAGTGGCAGCAGATTTAACTCGAAACAGGGATACAAACTTTCTGCTTCAGATTAATCCACCCATTCGTGCTCTAATTAATTTAGTTCATTTTCCAATAAGATCATCCAATTTGCCAAATATTGCACAAAAGTTGCCTGGTAGGGCTTAATCTTTTTGACAGTCCCAAGCCTTTGTTCTTCATAACTGAAGTCTTTGACATTGAAATTTAAAAATCTGTTTTCCAGGAAGTTTTTTGCCTGTTATTTATAGAGAGAGAAATGCCATAGCATTCGTAAATACCGGATTTTTCTTGTAGCATCAGAGGATGTTAGATTGTTCCTTGCTCAAGCTGAGGAATGGAAAAGGATTGCCATTAGGGAGACATTCCCACACACTTAAAGGAAACATCTGTCTATCAGGAGCATAGAGGGAACCTTTTAGTCTTGCCACTGAAATTGAAACTGAGACTGGCCACAAGAAAGAATGCAACAGTCCAGTAACACCATCAAGGGCTAAACATTTCCAGTGCAGCAGAGCACTGAAGCACTCACTGTCTGGAGCACCAAAAAGGTAAGTTTATTTTTCGTCCACTCCCGTACCATTGCAAATACTTCCTAGAAGAACAAACTAATGAACATGGCTGACTTCTCAATAAAACAGATCTCCAACTGGCAATTCACTATAAATACATATAAACTAAAGGCACTGCATGATTCTGTGTTTAATTACTCACTATTCCTGATTAAATGTAGCAATGCAGAAGGGTAGCTGCATTTTAAATGAAATTAAAAATTAAAAACAAACAAATCAAAACAGTAACAAGAAGAAAAAAAACCCAACAAACAACCCTCTGTAAAATTCCACTAAAGTCTGACTTCACATATTGGGTTATCAGCCTGCAAAGACCTTCCACCATTTTTTCCCTAGAGGCAAACTGCCCACCAAGCACAAGTAAAGACTAAGGCAAACAATACTTTGACTCACAGTAACCACCTAACCAAGAAATCTAACGTAATTTAGTCCAAAAAATCTGTTCAAGTGAGGAGGAAAGGAGCAAGGCTGTAAAGAGACTCTTTAATGTGACTCTGCCTGTTTAACTGCAAAAAGTAAAACAACAGCTTCAGCACAAACTTGAATATTTTGAAGTATAATCTTAAAGGACTGTGCAACTGATACACCAAACAGCAGAGGTATGATCCATCCCATAATAAAATTACCTTTTGCAAAGAAGTAATTAAATTCAAAATATGCTTATTTTAATATATGCTTATTTTAGTATCTGGCAGTAAACAATTCTGCATTAAATGCCTGATACTACACTGAGGACTGGGGCAAGGTACAGACCTGTTACTGGGTTTCACACCTCGTTATGGAGGGTATTTATGCCTTCTAAAAGTTCAGTCACAGAAACTGAACTTCCAGTTTCTAAAACAATGGAGACAGAACCATATGCATTGTGGACATTTTCCCTTTGATTTCCATGGGTTCCATGATTTCCACTCAAGCTGAGGAGGGACAGAGACCACAGATGTTTAATGCGTCATCTTCTCCTGACTTCAACCCTTACCTCACTACTTCCATTTGCTATGCCTTGTTTCTCTTTGTATACACCCCAACAGCATCAGAGCACATGTGCAAATGTCTCGCTGGCCACAGTCTTGTGCCATAGCCTGCGGCCACAAGGCAGAGCATTTTGAGGAACTGAACCCCAAACGGATCAAGATAAAACTACACAACTGAGATTAAAAAACATAGACTCCCAACTGCACTCATCTGGCTGTGAGGAGTTTCTCCTTTGTAATTACTTTTCTCACAGATGTCAATGCCACAAAAATCTATGAAGAGCAATAAATCCCAGCACAAGAACGCCAACTGTTTTATAGCACTGAAGATTCAGGTGTGTTCCAAGCCTGTTCTAGTTTTCAAAGTACTGCCTTTTCGTGAATAAAAACTTGAAGTGACAAACAACTAAAACAAATTAAATCATTTAAACAAAAAGATAAATATATTTTTTGGAGTCCAGTTTGTACTTCGCTTGACTTTGTTATATTCTTCTACTGAAATTCTCAAAGAATTTCAATTTATTTATTACTCATGTAAGTGGTCCTAATGATTTTAGTGGGACTACTCACATGGGAAAAAACCTTACACGTACATTTCAACAAAAAAAGACATAGACTACAAATGGAAAAAAGTTGAGCTGTAGAACACACCTGCTTCTAGCACTTCAGGATGAGAAAAAAAAAAAAAAACAAAGGGCACATTGTTTTTCAGTTGACACTGACACATATTTAATAAATATAGCCAACTGTGAAGGATGTTCATATCTGAATCGGAATAAGAAACACTTACATCAAATTACTGCCTACCTGATAGTATTCAACCATCAAAACTTAGTTTTCAGTTTTTATGTAAAAGAACCATAACACAAATTACATCATGATGAATTTAGCAAAACTACTGGATGTGTCTGCACAGTGGAGCCAATTAAAGCTGTTCCCCTTCCTATTATCCTTTCAGACACAGACTATACTGAAACTGCTGCTGCAAACAGTAACCAAGGTACTGAAATGGAACTATTACCAAGAGGAGACAGATGCTTTCACAAGTTACCACTGTTCATGAGTCAGATTTCTTTCCAGGTCCTATTGAGTTTCTGAGTTCAGGTTATTAACTGTGTCTGCAAGCTTTCAAACAGTCTTTTGTTCTTTAGAAAGCAAGTGTCTAACAAGGAAAGCACCATGAACAAATGAAAACCTGTACAAAAATACTGATCTGTCTGAAATGGGGCAGTCCAATAAGACTAAAGTGAATTAGCCCACAAAGAAAAGAAAATTTACTCTGGATTTACACATGACTAGTAGGTTAACTGAAAAATTTTCTGAAAAAAATTTTCGCCTCATAATCCAAAATATTTTTAATGTGGCTGGAACCAAATTGGTATAGGTAGGAATTTAAAGAGCACTATATAGAAAAAACATGGAGCTATCTATATTCAAGTGCACAACTTTTTTTAAACTCTCTTGACTTGCCGCCAAGCCCTGAAACTCAGATTACTTGTTTTCTGTCATAAATTACAACTTTAAAATGAAGCAGAGCCACTCTGTACTTTCTATAGCCAACATTTTCAAATTCATTTTGAACACCTCAGCTTTCAGGCAGATTCCTGAGAGTCACCAAAATGTGTCTCTGTACGCTAGAACCAGCCGCGTATTGACAGACCCGCGGTAAATGAGCTTCCTCTTCAACAAAGCTACCATCAGTTGTCTTCATTTCACTGAGACCGGGGACAAAGACTCTCACAAACTTCAGGGAGCTCATCACAGAGAGGGCAATATTTACCAACACCGTTAACGTGGAGGCAACGATGTTGCTGGTCAGGCTTTACCAGGAAAAGACTGACTGGGCTGGAAGCAAAATGCTGGGGGCCGGTCGGGGAACAACACAAGGAGAAAGTTCTTGCGGAGCCGGCAGAACTTTGCATCTCGTGCGTTCTAGCAGCCAGACTTTCCCACGTCGGTCGCTGGCATAACAGAGCAGAGGGAGCCAGGAGCGGCTGCAGGCTGGAAGAACACCGCTGGAAACCACCGCAGCGGGGAGGCAGGTGTGCGGAGGGCTCTCTGCACCTGCAGCCACGGGGGCGAGGGGTCAGCCTACTCGGCCGCTCCCCGGCTGGGATTGCATCAGCGCCGGCGGCGGCTCCGCCAGGTGAGCCGCTCCCGCCCCGCAGGACGGCGGGGCCAGCTCGGCAGCGGCGGGGCCGGGGTGCCCACGGCCCAGCTCGCCGACCCCGGGGCCCGGGGCCGCTCCCCCCACCGGGGTCGGCGTAGAACGGGGCAGGCGGGTCCGGACCTTACCTGGGGATGTACCTCGCCTCGTCCCCGAGCCGCACCTCGAAGTCCTTCCAGGGTTGTTCCAGCCCCGCGGCGACCCAAACCGCTGACGCCTCTTCCTCCTCCATGTCCTCGCCCCCCGGCTCGCTGCCAGCGGGCTGCGGCCGCGTGGCGCCGCGGAAGCCACGGGCGAACTCCGGGAAAGTGATGGCCCCGTCGCGGTCGCTGTCGAGGCGCTGGAAGATGGCCTCGGCCTCGGCCGGCTGCACCCGCAGCTCGGCGCAGAGAGCAGCGAAGTCCTCCCGCTCGATGCGGCCCGAGCCGCTGGCGTCGCACGCCAGGAAGAGGGCGCGCAGGCGGGACAGTTCGTCCCCAGCCGCCTCGGGATCCATCGGCCAGCGCCGGGGGCGCGGAGACTCGACCGCGGCCGGAACGCGATGGGATGGCGTGGGCCGCTGCCCTACCTGCGGCTCGGCGGGGCGGGCCGGGTCCCGCTCCGCCCCAGCGCCCCGCGGGGCCGGGCACGGCCGGGAGGCGGAACGCAGGTGGCGGCTCTGGCCGGGGCAGATCCCGGGCCGGCCTGCGGAACCCCCGGGACAGCAGGGCGCGCTCCTCACGGAGTGCAGGGGCACGGGGCTCCCCTCGGACCCACCATGTTAGGAGCGGCACAGGTAACTACACACAGCAACGCAGGGTAAAGAAACATGTCTCACCCCCCTGCAGCGCTCAAATGTGAGTCCCGACACTGGGCGGTCACCGCATAAGGTGTTAAACCTAACTGCCGTTTTCCAACATAATAAAAATACTCTTCACGTTCACGGAAGACCCAGAAGCCACATGATAACACAAAGTTTGAACAGATAAGTTCTCTCTGGCACGAATAGTCTTGGAGTTATACCTTGTGGGTATGTGCTCACAGATGTCTCCCCAGCGGTGATTCGCGATGTGGACTGTTAAAATCCCATCTTAAACTGAAAATGCAAAAGATTTATTCAAATCAATAAACCAGAGGAGACAGCTTTTCTGTGCTTTGTGAAGAACTAGTGTCTTTCTTGACAGAAGTCAAGATGTTTTCCTTGTGAAGTCAAATTCAAGACTCCGATTCCATTTGAATCTAAGGGATATTTTAAAATTATTATTTATTTCCCTGCCCTTATTCTTGTTAATGTCTATCTGCAAATGTAAATTGTGTTGTACCACAGTTGTGATAAACAGACTACAAATCTAACGGTCAAAGCAGCATTTCCTTATTGACCAAAACAGCCTAATTATGTGATCTAGCAAAGCACAAGTAGTCCATCTTACCTCTCCTCAGAATAAAGCACATACCGTAAATGGGAACTATCAAGTTCCTTTGCCTAAGACGTAGAATGTCCTCAAATGGATTTTTTTTTTCTTTTTGTACAGCTTTTGATTATTAATCCATCAGGATTAGGCAGACAGCCAACCGTCTTTCTCTAGAGAGTAAAGAGTTTTGTAAAATGTTCCCCACACTTTAAGGAAATGTATCTGTTAAGCAATTTGAAATATAAATTTTAGCTTTAAAATATAAAATAGCAGAAAGACTTAAATTTGTGATTTTACACATTTTATTACATTTCCACCACACAACTGCAAAACTACAAAAAGTGGCTCATCATCAGTTTCTTAGTGTTTTAGTAAAACAGAATTAATTTAACAAAAGTGTTCTTCCTGTTCTATGGTCATTTATTTATCCACCAATTTTTTATTACTAAAGTGCATCATGGAGCATTTAAGGGGTTGTTCAGCCATCAAAAGAGAGAAACTTTTCTTGTATATACAACCCAGCTCTCTTTATAGGAGCTGGGACATTTGGCTTTCGGAGCGGACAAGTTCGTGAGGTGAACTGGAGCAGCCTCATCCAGGTCTGAGTGTGTCTGACTAGCCAGACAGGGTGTTCCCATTCCCACTCAAATCAATGTGCTCATCTTATTTGCTTTATTTATGGCTTATTTGCTGTATTTACGGCTTATTTGCTTTATTTTTTCTCCTTTTTTTCTTTTTTTTTTTTTTTTTTTTTTTTGTGGCTGCAGAGTTATGAGTTGACATTGGTCAGCTATCCTACCCACTCTTTTACGTACTCTTGTGTGTATCTTTACTAATAGTCACTACCTTGGGCTGCTAAGCAGAGGGCACAGACTTTGGACATGCCCTGTTGGCTTTTTTTCCTTGTCTTTTTTCTGTTAGAGAAGTTTTGTCGCACAAATCTCAGGCACTGGCATCACAGTGTATCATTTAGCACTGCCATGGCATAGGTATATTCTGCAAAACAGATCATGCTTGCAATGGTGCACGATACTACACAGCCCATGCTTGCTTGGCAGGACATGGGTTAGTTGAATAGTTCTGACACAACCACACAAAGATAATAAATGGTTTATTTGTTAAGACCAAAGAATGGTCTTAATGGACCAAAGAGTGGTGAGACCAGGATTACCAGCAGGCAATGGCATGCTTTCTTCTGAGATCATGTCCCTATTCTTAGAATGACCTGCTCTTTAAATCCAGCTCTAAATTAAATAAATATGCAAATACAAGGCACTGTTTATGTGGCATAGTAGTCTTAAATTCATAAGAGAAGTTTTTAATTCATGCATAAGATACTGAAGATACAGGTATACCATGCCTTCAATTTTCAGTTTATCATCTCTTTTCCTTCACTCTGCCTTGAAACTCACAAGCTAGCCCAAGCATCTATTGGGCTGAAGAGGCAAAAGAGAAAATTAAATCATTCTTAGGAACTTTAGGTGACGATGTGCAGAGTAGAGTCTGGGAGTTCTCAATGAGATGGGCTGTGGTAGTGGTTCTTCCTAATGGTTTCCATGTTCTGCCATTCTCTTACTGCCAAAGTGTCTTCCTTTGCACTCTTTGTTACTTAGATGGCATTTTCTTTGCTTTGATGGCATTAAACTTACTTTTTACCTGGTTCTATCCTGGCGTGCACTTTGTGTGAAACAATAGGATAGGTGCATATATTAAATGCCAAGTCTGGACAGATCATAGAACATTTCTGCATGCTCTCATTACCTGCTGCATAATTTTAATACTACTGAATATGATTCACCCTCAAAATGCATAATCTATGTCTTTAAAAACTTAGTCCAGGAAATTAAAAAATAATATTTTGAGAGAACATAATTTTGTGCTTTGACTTTGTGATAAAATGATACAAAAAGTGACAATAAAAGTTCTTTGTCTAAGAAGAGGTACATTTAAAAGTCCAAAATGTTTCTCAGGATATACAGATTTTTTTTTATTCTCCTAAACATTTAGCAGTTCAGACAATGAAGTTTTAAAAGACTCTATGGTATTATAACACTTTAACAAACTTCAGATGATGACTCCAGATCATGAAGTATAAACCTTTCATGTGAAGTATCTTCAGCCTGAAAAAGACAAAAGTGACCCTTGATATTTAAATTTCAAAGTACCCAAGGTGCTTTTGCAGAAATTATTAAGTATTGGCAGTCTTTTTAAAAGCTTGTCTGTATGATCAACTGAATAGCCAGGGAGATGCTGAAATGACTGATAATGACTGCTGGGCCTAGTTTGGACATATTAGCTATCACTCTCATGCTGGTCTACTGTTCTCCCGCCCCCAAAAAATAACATTACAAGACTGTTCTAAAGACATTTTATGATATTGCCAATTCTCAAAAACTGTAGTGTTTTTGAATAACATGAACAGCTAGCAATACAACTACTTATGAATCGTATGATTACTTACAAAATACTTACAAATTTCATTTTGTTTATGGGAAGCCTTCCTTGATTTGGGTAGTCTATATAGTTTTTTCAATTCTAATAGTCAAAACTGATGAAGCTTCTTTGTTGTTAAAGAAATGGACATCTCAAAATGCAATTCTCCGTGTGCAAATCCTGTTAACAATGAGCACTGCTGAAAACAGAGGATGTAAGTGTCCTTTTGAACGGAGAGATAAACAGTTTTAGGTCAAACAGACATGCCTCCTTCCAGTTAGGATTAGCTTTAACCTTTTACTGCAAAATGATGCCAAAGCTCCTTCAAAAACACAGCAAGGTCCAGGTTTCCCTTGTAAACACAATCATCACTGTTTCATCGTCTACCTATTCCCTTTCTTGCTCAATGTTTTGGGACATTTCCCCAGAAGCAGAAGATTCAAGTTTAAATCACTGCCTTGCACGAAGGAAATTAGGGTTACCTTTCTTTTTCCTCATGCAATGTCCTAACCACAAAGATACTGGAGACAGTGATGGAATTGAGAAGCACCCAGCTCTCAAAGCCACTGTGCCAAGCATCTGTGTTTTACAGTTCATTATAACTAGACAAAAATAGACTTTGGTGAAAATGCTAGTTGACAATTTTCCATATGCCAGTTGATCTCTAATCCATCTTTTATTTCTCTCTGTCTGGTCAAAAAATTCTTACATTATTTTCACAGATTCTGACTAAATGGTATCATTTAGTTGAGCAGCTGTAAGACAGTCTGAAAGATATTTGCTTAACTAGAGAAAGAAATACTGAAATCTGTTCAGACAGGGAGGAAGACTGAATTCATTTCCAGTCTTGTGTGTAATGCTCTTACCTTCAGGTTCCTCCTTAAAGAAGACACACATATTCAGTAATTCTTCCTACTTTATCCTAGCAAAAGTGTCTGCCACTGTTTCACATCAATTCTGCTATTCATGTTAGGCAGATTCTGTGTACCATTAACAGGGCAGGCCTTAAAAGAATGAGGGAAGAATGTCTTACCTGTGGATCCCAAGAGGGATGTTTGCTTTTGAGCAGCTCAGTGCCCATAGGGCCATTGGACATGCCTACATTTCGAGCCTTCTGGGCAATATTCCTGGGGAAAACATCACTGGTCAATGCCCCATTGACAACAATTTTGGATGGGGTCAAGGTTTAACCTGAGCCAGCGGCCAATCCCCACACAGCCACTCACTCACTCCTCCACCAGCACGATCAGGGACAGATTGGAAACGTAAAAGTGAGAAAACTCATGGGTAGAGATAAAGACAGTTTAAGAGGTAAAGCAAAAGCCACACACACAAGCAAAGCAAAACAAAGAATTCATTCACTGCTTCCCAAGGGCAGGCAGGTCTTCAGCCATCTCCAGGAGAGCAGAGTGCCATTACACATAAAGTGACCTGGAAATATAAACACCATCACTCCAAGCACCCCTTCTTCTTCCTTTATATACTGAGCATGATGTCATATGGTCTGGAACATCCCTTTGGCCTGTTGGGGTCACCTGTCCTGGCTGTTTGCCCTCACAAGCTCCTAGACACCCCTGAAGACCTCACCAGTGGGGCCATACGAAAAAGCAGAGAAGGCCTTCACTCTGTGTAAGCTCTGCTCAGCTTTAACAATTTCTATGTTATTAACCCT